CATATTGCAATTGTGACATGTTGCAATTTTTTCCTCTTTGCAGAACAATGCGAAAGTAGCTGTCTTGGGTGCCTCAGGGGGCATCGGGCAGCCCCTGTCCCTCCTACTGAAGAACAGCCCTCTAGTGAGAGAGCTGTCACTTTACGATATCGCCCACACTCCTGGAGTGGCTTCTGACCTCAGTCACATTGAGACCAGAGCCCATGTCACAGGTACAGAAATGTTTTCGGCTCAAGCCTCCTTGGTTCTGATGGTTATAATTAGATTTTTTAGTATTTGCAGATAAATCATATTTATTATTTTAAAGTTGCATGAAATGAACATTTCCTGTGTTTTCTAAATGCATCTTCTTAATCTTGTGAACGATTCATCCAGGTAACTTTTTAACCCATAATTTTGATTTAAAATGTCAAAACTTGACAGTTGAAACAACCTACTTTTATCTGGTAACATATGCTAGTCTTCTCCAATGCTTAAATCCTATTTACTTTAAATTGTTCTGCTATAGTGTTCACTGTGTTGCCTTGCAGGGTACATGGGAGCAGATCAGCTGGGTGCTGCACTGAAAGGCTGTGAGGTTGTTGTCATCCCTGCTGGTGTCCCAAGGAAGCCTGGTAATATTTTTTATGTCTCTGCTTTGTTTTGTTTTTAAGCGCATTTCTAGTCAGCATCGAATGGCATTTGCAACATTTTATTTGTGTGAATGTAAAATAGGATATTCAACAAAAATTTTTGATTGGCTTAAACATAAGGGCTTGGGGATAGAATTGGGCTCAGTTTTAAATTCTTATGGATTTCTATATAATTCTGAAGATTCTTTTTGGCCTTTTTTCTAGGTATGACCCGTGACGACCTGTTCAACACCAATGCCACTATTGTGGCTATATTAGCTGATGCCTGCGCCCGTCACTGCCCTGAGGCCATGATCTGCATCATTGCAAACCCTGTAAGTATAATAAAGTCTTGGAGAGATTAGTGCATTGCTGTTATATCACTTGCTAAACTGTCCAAAGGTCAAAAGGGCGTATAGCACTACATATCTATTAGGGATGAGTCGCGATCTTCGAATAGTCGAACTGCGTTCGAAATTCGATCATAAAATTGCTTATTCGAATATCGTTATATTTTGCCGCAATTCCAATGTGACATAATTGACGGCGCGCCTACTGTCCTAGATCGCGCAGCAGGGTATTTTCCTGTCGGGGACACAAGGTGCCACTAACATGAATGAAACCCCCTCCTGCGCGATCTTGGATACCAGCGTTTTTTACATAGTGTAAACAAACAACAGAAGAAGAGCATTGTTGTGACCGTTAACTCTGCGCCCAACAGAGGTGGGTAGTAGACTAACCTTTACTGTCTATGGTAGTAACCGTCCATGGTAGTAACAAAGTAGGCTACATTTACTTCACTACGTTGGGCGACGTTCCTCTCGTTTCCTTATTTTAATGCAATACATGTTGTTAAATGCGTAGTTTATTCCAAGCGCGCTGTATCTTTATTACTCGACGATAGCACTACAAGTATGATGACATTATCCGTTTTTTGGACATATACATTCATTAATAGGCTACATTAAATAAGCTACCATTGTCCACACCACAGTTTATGAAATGAACACCCGCCATCCTGCGGTAATGTGTGTGTATTGCGGAGTGGCATCACACGAATAGTTTTGATTGAAACTAATTTGTTTAAAAAGTAGGCTTTTGCAGTAACATTTTTTTATCTAACGAGCATCTGGTTTGGCGATGCAAAAACAGACTGTCCTGCTTATTGTTTTTTTCTTAACTACCGGTATGTTAAAAAAAACGATGAAAACATGTTACTTGTTCAATTATTAAACCGTTTGTTTGATGACAAATCGCTAAAGATGAAATTGGCCTCCCTTTCTGTCACTGTGAGTGCGGGGGGGTTTTTTTGTTGTTTTTTTCGAACGATAATCAACTTTTGCTGCTCGATTTTCGAATGGCATTTTTGGCAGAAATTCACATCCCTAATATCTATACACATACATGCATGTATGCTTTGGACCGTCCATTTAAGTTGATAATTGTTCATATAGAAAAACAAGTTCTGTATTATTAAACTTCATTGTAAATTTCAGGTGAACTCCACTATTCCCATCACATCAGAGGTGATGAAGAAACATGGCGTCTACAATCCCAACAGAGTCTTTGGTGTGACAACACTGGATATTGTCAGAGCAAATACTTTTGTTGCTGAGCTCAAAGTAAGTTATATAAACTCAATAGATACAGATTTTTAAGTACAGATTTATTTATTTAATGTCATACGTTTGCACAGTCATTTCATTGTCACGGTTACTGCAATATTTCCAGGGCCTTGATCCCGCCCGAGTCAATGTGCCAGTGGTCGGAGGTCATGCAGGAAAGACCATCATTCCTCTCATTTCACAGGTGAGGAGAACCTGTATTACTACATAACTGATAACTTATTCAATAAGCATTTGAACAGTATTGCATTACAATGACTACCAATTCAAGCTTTAACTTTCATGTCAATCCAAGCTCAGCAGTTTTTCTTTCGGACAGGTTGTTTAGATTATTTAGTGAAATGATAAAGCTGATGTGTATTCTTATTCTTTTCGTGTTGTTTTCAGTGCACACCCAAGGTTGAGTTCCCAGCAGATCAGCTGTCTGCTTTGACAGGCAGGATCCAGGAAGCAGGAACTGAGGTTGTGAAAGCTAAAGCTGGTGCAGGTGAGAACTGAGGTTTTAGATGCTGTTTGATTGCTTGTTTTTTGATTGCATTAAGTACTCTGAGGCTTTGGTTCCTTCATGTCGCTGGCATTTTTTTTTTTTATTGTCCAGAAATTTAATTTAGATAAAAAAAAAAAAATACCACATTAAAAATACCATTTAGAAGATCTGAAAGATGAATTTGTATCTGTAAACCTAAAGGTGTATCTCTTCATAGGCTCTGCCACTCTGTCCATGGCCTATGCTGGAGCCAGGTTCACATTCTCCCTTCTTGACGCCATGAATGGAAAGGAAGGTGTAGTTGAATGTGCATTTGTGAGATCTGAGGAAACCGAGTGCAAATACTTCTCTACACCTCTCCTGCTTGGGGTAAATCTAGCTAGACCCTCTTTAGATGTTACTACTTATCTTCAGATCATACAAGGTCAAACAACCACCTGGTAAAACAGGCTTTTCTGTTTTTAAAATTAATTTCTCTTCCTTTTCTCAGAAAAACGGCATTGAAAAGAACCTTGGCCTTGGCAAGATTTCTGCGTTTGAGGAGAAGCTGGTAGCTGAAGCCATGGATGAACTGAAGGGCTCCATCAAGAAAGGAGAAGATTTTGTTTCAAACATGAAGTGATCTGTGCTTGTGGCACACTACCTGTGAAATGTCCTTTATTTATAAAGCTGAGTCATTGTATGTCAACAGGGTTTCCCAAGAAATGTATGTTCATCATGTTCAAAGATGCAGACAGTCTTTGTACTGATTAAAACAGTCAAATCCAGCCATCAATAAAACGGTCTGTTTACCAACTCTATACATCCTTGCATTTCAGTTCACTCTATTCAATATATTGCTCTTTTGCTATGAGAATATATTATTGACTTGTTTTTTGTTGTTGTTGTTGATTATAAACGGTGACTCATAAATCAATGTGAATGAGTTTTACATAAATGGGAGTGGCTCTGAGTAAACCTGCTGTCAGGGTTATTGTTATTTTCAGTCAAGGATCCACTTTCACATTCAAGTCTCTTTCCATGTACTTATTCAAATGATTAGAGATTTGGAGGTATTTAAATGAAGCTTAATGATGTAATGGATATTAAATTTCCTACACACACATACACACACGTATGTATACAGGTGAAACTTGAAAAATTAGAATATTGTGCAAAAGTTAATTTATTTCAGTAATTCAACTTAAAAGGTGAAACTAGTATTATATAGACATTACATGCAAAGTGAAATATTTCAAGCCTTTATTTGTTATTTTGATGATTATGGCATATAGCTATGAAAACCTTTTCACAATATTCTAATTTTGACTTAGCCATAATCATCAAAATTATAACAAATAAAGGCTTGAAATATCTCACTTTGCATGTAATGAGTCTATTAGTTTCACCTTTTAAGTTGAATTACTGAAATGAACTTTTGCACGATATTCAAATTTTTAGAGTTTCACCTGTGTGTGTGTATATATATATATATATATATATATATATATATATATATATATATATATAAAAAATTTAAAGATCTAATTATGATAGTTTCAAGTCTGCCCCATATTTGTGTTATTTGAGAAGGGGGTATTGTCTGCATGAATGATGATTTGAAAGGATTTTCCCCCACAATATTTTACAAGCATAACTACCTAGCTTTCTGAAAACATTTTAAATATAAACACCTAGTTTTATGTTTTTATTTCACCTTTTCCAATTACAGTAGCATTAGTTGGTGTCTTACCTGGTGCCTCGATCTTAAAATGACATTGTTCTCCCATTGTAAACAGTATTTTATAATGGATAGAAACCTTTCATTTTATATATGGTGCTTAAATCATATTGCTGATAAATCTTTTCCCCTAAAGTGACTTTTAATAGGTAATATCTTTTAAAAAATGCTAAAAGCTTTCATACTTGTGGTTGCATGCCTACATATATTGTTAAAAAACATTTGACAGTTACCAACCAAGAGATGTTGATCACATTAGGAAATATTTTAAAATAAAAATATTACTTTTGAAAATGTCTATTTTTTTATTATTTATTTGTTTGTGTATTATAATATTTGTATGGGTTTCTCACTTTTAATTAAAGAAAAAATTACCCTCCATTTTACTGGCAGATAAATATTAAACAGGCTGGATTTATTTTATTTGTATTCAGTAATAATAAAAGGAAAAACATTAGTCAATTCCAGCAAAGCAAAAAAAAAAAAAAAAAAATCTTGTCTCACATTGGCTTATTTGAATAAGGTTAGCTCATTTGCATACGTTCAGATGAGCGGAAACGACCTGCCACCAATCATTTCAGGCGATTCGTACGGAAACGTCGTCTCCGCATCCACCGTCGTACTAATTAGCCAAATTTACCGGTTCCATGACTTTACTGTGTAAGTCAATAACAACCAATTAAACAAAACATTTTGAATTTAGACAGAAAGTTTTTGTGGTGTTCAGACCGTCAAATAATGGCTGGTTTAACAGAGGAGCGTTTGCGCGTGGTGGCGATCATTCACGCGCTCAAAGCTGTCGGTATCCGCGTGAAAAACTGGAAGAACTTTCTGAATGGAGATTCCAACTGTCAACAAACTTTTAGTCAGGTAAAAAAAAACTCCTTGTAACGAGGGGTAATTAATTGTTACTTAAAAATATATTGTCATTTACATACGTTGAATTTGTCTCCCAGGAGAGCTCGTCACAACGCTTTGCTTTTGGACGTGACATGCATTTGCTCCCTCAACATCAACTCTCTGACATGGGCGGTACACTACCTCAGTATGTTTATCAACATCTCTTGTTAGTTTTAAAATTCAGATAATCAAAAATAAAATTGAGTTTCACGAGAATAGCATGACAGTGATTGAGAGACAGAAGCCTGCGTTTGTATTCCACATGAGAGCATCTGAAGTGCTGGTTTTCAGGTTCTTGGTGGAGGCCTGTGGATATCTGTCACAACATCTGGATACAGAAGGTCTTTTCAGGAAGACCGGATCCCTGAGTCGTATCCGAGCTCTAAGGGTAAATTCCTTCAAATCTGTCATATATCACAATGGCATTGACAGGTTATATCTTACCACTCTGCCTATGTAGTTGTACGTGTTAAATTTATAGTGAGCCTTTTGATGGATGGCAATCTTTTTATTCAGGTACCCGTTTTGACCTTTACAGGTGTATTTTCCCCCCCACTAATTTTACAATACTGGTATAAAGTTTGGAATAAATAAGATTGTTTAAAATGTTTATGCTCACAATGGCTGAATTTATTTACATTAATTAGAATAATTTCTGAAGGATAATGTGACACTGAAGTAATGGCTGGTGAAATTTCAGTTTTGCCACCTCAGGAATAAATTACAATTAGTTAAAATCAATTGTTTTTCATTGTAGTAATATTTCACAAAATTGCTGGTTTTACTGTATTTTTGATTAAATACATCCAGCCTTGTTGAGAATAATAGCCTTCTTTCAAAAACATACAACTTTTGACTGGTAGTGCAGTCTAAAATATAAATAGCACTTTTGACAAATGGTTAAAATTATCTGCAAGAAAAAGTAACGACAAATGCTATTATTTCATAGGCAGATTTGGAGCAGGGAAAGACAGTCTTTCTTCCCCCGCACGCAGACCTCCTGCAGCCTTGTGACGTTGCCTCTCTCATCAAGCAGTTCCTGCGTGAGCTGCCATCTCCACTCATCCCTACAGATCTCCAGATCCCTCTGATTCAGGCCCAGGGGCTTGAGATGACACATGACCAGGAGGGAGCGAGAAACAGAACAACTCTGCTCATTACAGCTCTGTTACCTTCATCCCACGCCCGTGCACTCAGATACCTCTGCACCTTTCTGCATCAAGCTGCGGAGAGGTTTTACATTTGATTGCAGCTTGAAAATATGCAGCTTACTTTGCTGAATGTCAATTTGAGTATTTTATTTCCTTGGATCTGTGCAAATTTTAAAGGAATTTTCTCTTATTTTTCTGTAATATTTACTCTTAAGTTGAAATTATTGTCTGTGGTAATTGACAGCATGCTAAAAACACTTTGCATAGATGTATAGACAATACACGAGCTCATTTTTAGTCATATTTTCCTTATTTTCATGTCTTTGATCAGATGCAGTGAGAATAGAATGGATGCGAGTAGCCTTGCCGTTGTTATTGCTCCTAACCTGCTTCAGTGTCAACCTTGCAAACTCACTCTGGACACCGAGAAACATTTAGACCAGCAGACATCAGTGATCAAATCATTCATTCTTCATGCAGAACGTATTGGTAAAGATGTAGGAGATTTGAATGAGCGATTGGTTAACCTGCCCTTTGCTGGGTGCAGCATCAGATTGACCCATTTATTTGGAGTAAACTGAGCTTGTACTTGTGTGTGAACTTTGTCTATCAGGTGTTGTTCCATCATGTGTGCTGGAGGCTTTAAAAGCAACAGGGGGAACAGAGACACCCTCTTCTGCAGGTGGCGCTATGTTTAGTAAGAGGACAGGACTCAGTGTTTACAGAAGTCTGAGACGACAACGAAGACGAAGTGTTGGTGGTGAGATTTTTTTGTTTGTTTTGTATATATATTTTTATTGAGCAGATTCTTAAAGGGGTCATATAATGCCATTTTTGTACAAGCTAATATGATTCTTTAGGGTCTAAATTAAAAGTTTGTAATATACTTTAATTAAAAATTCTCATTAGTATTGTAAGAAAACACTTATTTTACCTGGTCAAAAACAGCTCTGTTTTCAGCACGCCGTTTCAGTGCATATGCCTTTAAATGATCATGAGCTGCGCTCACTCCGCCCCTCTGTTCTGTGCATAGCAGCTACACCGTTTGTAACACAATAACACAATAACCATAACGCTTGTTCAGTATAAACGTGGAATTATGAATTATATTGAGAACGTCATACATAGAAAACATGCCGTAATGTACCCTGACTGAGTGTAAACCTTAGACGCATTCATTGTGAAGCGTGCAGCTAGCGATTTGCAAAGATTAATATATTAATATAAAGTTTAATAAAACGTTTCACTCACTTCCGTTCTTCTGGAGGTTCAGCAGGAACACGAATATCTGGTACCGATCCTTTTTAGCAAAGCTTCTTAGCAAATCCAGCTTTATACTGACCCTCGTTTATAAAGCAGTCTGGTGTGTGAAATGATTCGCGCAAACATGAAAGCATTGACGTTGCTCGTGTGGAATATTCCCTTCGAAAACAAACTCAGCCACTGCGTCTTCAGCGGTTCGGATTCAGGAACATTAAAATGACTGTGTTCGTTATTACACCCAAGAACAGAACACCACAATCGCTTAGACGCCATTCTGCTCATAGACAGTGCTCCAGCATATCAACAATGACCGCGCCGGTCCGGTCCGGTCCGCGCAGACTATGATTGACAGCTACCTCATGTGCGAGGGCGGGTCTGTGTTGAAACGCTCCCGTCAATCAACAATCGCGGGAGGGGCGTCCGTTTTATTGACGTCACAAAAACGAACGGCTCGATTTGAGGCAGGGGAAAACATATAAGGAGATTAAAACAAAACCACTGGATGGATTTTTATCATTATATGATGTTTGTGTACAGGCACTGCCAACACACATTTCAGTACAATCAACTTGTAAAAGTGCATGTACCATTATATGACCCCTTTAAATGGCCAATATTCATGGCATACTTGGAAAACAAATCTTTAATGAAGGTACAGTCTCAAAAAAGGAAAGGACAATAATGGAGTGTTGAATTACTCTCTAGACAACGCTCTCTAATGGAGCGTTGCATTTTTTCCAGGTGTAAAAAAGGACATTAAGTTCTTTAACCAGGACAATTTAGGAGGGGGGCATGAGGATTTCCAATGTAACAATATTCGTCTTCTGGCTACCAATGAAGCAAAAGCAATAATTTTAGCATGGAGCTTGTTACACAAGCCATCAACAGGGAGTACTCCAAAAATGGCAGTTATTGGGCAGGGTTTAACAGAAACATTAAGAGCCTTTGACAATGCAACAAAAAAAGAAGACCAGAATGGATACAATTTAGGACAGGTATAAAATGTATAAGAATGATCTGCTGGGGATAGCGAACATCTATTGAATCTGTCATCTTCTGTTAAAGAAAGTTTCTTCAATTGTTGGTTTCATACTGCCATAACCACCACAGACAATTAAGGTGGTCATGTGTATTCTGTATTTTTACAGCTCCCCACCAATCCTAAATATACAGTGTCATTTTTGATTTTGCAATATAATATTAAAAATGATGAAAAAACATGAAAAAATTTCTATTAATAAAAGAATACTGAAAAAAGTCACAGCTTTCACAAAAATATTTAGTACAACTGTTTCAACATTGATAATAATAAGAAATGGTTCCCGAGGGCCAAATCAGTATATCAGAATAAAGGAATACATTTCTGAAGGAATAAATTACATTTTAAATTATATTAAAAACTGATATTTTAAATTGTAATATTTCACAATTTTTACTGTTTTTCTAGACCCCAAACCTGTTAAGTATATAGTGATTTATGTTATGGGCACAAACAAATTCCTAGCATATCTTTCTTTCTGTTTTAATGATAATGTAAATTTTTATCAAAATATTGTTTCAGAAATATTCGTAGATGCTTTTTCCAAACTGAAGCCATGTCGTACTCCCACTGGACCACCAATAGTGTTAGATGCCATGTCAGGTGAGCCACTATATTTTTGCATGGTAAGTGCTTTCCTATTAGTTATTCTCTTAAACTGCAAAAGTAAATAAAAAAAATGCTTCTTTGATCTTTATAGTGACTCCTCTCTCAAAAAGCCCCTCTCCTCAATCACCAGTTACAGTCAAACGTAAAGCCACCGAGGAATCACTTCCTGAACTTGAAGGATCTGCAAAGAAAAGGTACATTTTTGGCTTATCTGATACATAAATATCCATTTTGTCTGGTTGTCAGATAACTTCATAGACTACTTGCAAAAGATGTTCATCCCAGATGTTTCTGTGCTTGTGTTTACTATTGTTCAGGCGGTCTTTGCATGACCTAAGAGAGGACATGTCGACAACTATCACTCAGCCAGAAGGTCAGTCCATTTATGTGTGTATTTTACCAGCTTATCTCATGATTGTTGTAGAATATTGATACTCCAAAGATGCTTTGTAAAAATCTGTTAGAATCTGTAAGCAGTCATAGTCCAAAGACTATGTGTAGTAAAGAAGATACTATTCTTACCACCAAGAAGAGAAGCCACACGAGAGAACAGCGGAAATTGCTTAGGTACTGTATCATGACTGCACTCTACTCTGTAATACTAATTTGGGGATGATAATTTCATCTACAAAGAGTAGCAGTTTGGCTTATCTGTGTATGTTTTGGGGTTTTCAGGCCTCCAGCACAAGAAGAAAAGGTGCATCGGAGAAAAAGATCTCTCCGATTTTTTACTGTGTCCAGTGGAAACAACAGTAACCAAGTATGTTTTGTTTTAACCAGCTTTTAGTAGTTTTTACTCTTTTTGTTTAATTTTTTTCATTCTGCTAACCTGGTTTCATATTTTTAGCTTTCAGTGACACCAACTCATAAAGACCCTGAAAATTGTTCAGAAGAACACCAAGAACAGCTTGACTGTAAAAGTGATTCACCACTTATAAATGATATGTCTCCAAGGATACCTCTTATTGTCATTGATGAACCAGGAGCAGGTTTGGATGAGTTTTTATTAATTTAATTCACAATATTTACTGATTCAATAAAAATCTGGCCAATATGTCGGTTCATCACTATCGTTGACATTATTGTAAACTTTAAATCTTTTCATATTTTCTTTTGTTCAAATAAAACATTTTTTGAATGTTTAATTTTCAATCATGCAGTTGTTGTTGGGAATGAGGTGGATGATGACCCGGATCTTCTCAACTGCTGTTTTGCAGAAAACACTGATGACTGTCTAAAAATGGGAATAGAAGCATCTTTCATGCAGAGACAGGACAGTGAAGAACCCTGTGACGATGAATGCTGGACCGTACTTGAAGTTGAGGACTTTGAGCGGTTAGGAGAATGTGAGGTAAAACAATCTGTTACTCAAAATGAAGGGTCTCATGCAAGCACAGAAGTAGAGAATGAGTCAGAGGTGAAGCAGCCACGTAAAGAGTCCAAAAAGGATAAGAACCGCTCTAAGAACCGATCTTGTCCTCGTAGATCCATAAGCCTACCTGAGGTGATGCTTGAGTCGTGTACTGATGAGATCCCCGTTTTGGAAAAGGAAGTTGGTAGAGCTGAAACTGAGATTGATAACAGTGTCTGGTCGATGTTTGCAAGTCTGACCCTTTCAAATGAGCAAGAGAATGTAACCACGGAGAAGAAGGGGGGTATCAATGAAGTGCAAGAGACAAAAGGAAGCATTAAAACACAAAAGAATTATAAACAAGACAAGATGACCGACTCAACTATTGGTTTCAAAAGACCCCATCAGCGTTTGTCCGTGGCTGAGCGACTTAGAGGTTTTAGTGCTTTGACCTTGCTGCTCCGGACATCACGAACGGCACCTCATTTCCGGGAGAAACCGCAGGATTCCCTTCAGAGGGGAGCCACGCGCCTTCGGAGGCAGGGGGCACGCCGATTTGGCCGCTCCATCAGTCATGAGGGCGTATCTGAGAGACCACCAGAGCAGAGCCCTGTGGGATCTCCTCCAGCAAATCAGGCTTTCATAGGAATGTGCGACGCTAGCCCTGATTCGGGTGTGGAGTCGGTCGATCAAGAACCGATTAATGATTTACATCATCAAGAGATGTGCAAGAGGTCACAAAATTCCCTCCAAAATCAGACAACAAATGATGTGGATTCTCTGAGCTTGTTGGGAAACCCGAATCAAGATCTGAATTTGTCTGCAATGACGAAAACTGAATGTCTGTTCCTGTGCAAGCAAACAGAGCAGAATGTCAAGGAGCTTGATCTTCATAAAATGTTGGATCAGAAGTGTCACATTGGTGGTCACGAGGAAGACGATTGTGAAGATTCAAATGTTCCTCCTGTAGTTCTTACACCTGATCTTGCATCACCAATGTTCTTCCAGCAGATGCTGCCATTGAATCTCTATGAAGACTCAAGTTCAGTCGAAGACTTCAGAACGGATCAAGTCTCTCCTCTGCACGAAAGCGATAAGGAAACCCCCTCATGGCTGAATGCCAGTCCTCCATTTGAGTTTCCACCTTTTGCTTCTTTGACACGAGACGGTGTGATTTTTGAAGATGACACAAGTAATGGGTTGCCTGGTGAGCTTTCCTCTCCAATCTTTCAGTTTAGGCATCCGACCACTAGAAGGCGCTACAGAGACTCTCCCCGCTGGCCCTCGCATGAGGTGCGCATGTCTACTTGGAACCCGTTTCCACTTTAATCATTTAGTTCTTTAATTTTTATTAGTTACATATCAGTTCCCAAAGACTGGGATCTGAATATGGTTTGTATAATCATTAAACTATTATTTATGCAACAATGGTTTTACTTGTTTGTTTGTGAGCTGTCACAAATTTTCTTTGTTCTTAATAAAATCCGTTTTAATAGTTCACTTTTTTTGTAGTTATTTTCTAGATGTTCAGTTCATTTAATTTTCGCCCATATAAGGACCTGTGACAAAATCTGTTTGCAAGTTAAAATGTCATTACTTACCCTCAAGCTGAGTTTCTTTCTTCTGTTGAACACAAAAGAAGATATTTTAAAGAATTTTGGTAACCAGACAGTTGATGGAACCCATTGACTTCCATAGTAGGAAAAAAAAAATTCTTTAAAATATCTTCTTGACAAACTCCTCATACAGGTTTAGAACAACATGAGGGTAAGTAAATGACAAAATGTTCATTTTTGGGTGAACTATCCCTCTAAGCAACTGATTTTGGTTCCATGTCATGTTAAGCAAGGACGACTGGTTTGGGAAATGTTTAAAAAAATATTTCTGCTTAAATAAAAGTAAGCTAAACAGTGTCTGTGCCATGCTGTTGATCCCTGGCATGTGTGATCTAAGATTGTAAAAGCAAAATGCAATTGCAATAAAAGTCTATTGGCAAACAGTTGCCCCATACAGTTCCATTGCAAGTGCATTTCAGTACAGTTTTCTTTTTTCTTTTTACAAACTTAAGTTTGAGAATCCTTTTTGGTGACTTAGAATATTTCTTTATTAGAGTGAAATTATTTATTCATTTATTTACTTTTAAATATCCAAGGAACAAATCCAGATTAAAGGGAAAGGAACCAAGTTTTAAAAGAAAGGTACAATATTTTCCCTCATTAAACAAGTTTGAATTATTATAAAAAGATTGTTAATATCCTTTAGCTAAGCCCAACAGAGAGTGATAATGTTAGTTTTATGAGGCTGGTGCTCCTCCTCTTTGATGTGGAGCAGCGAGAGAACGCTACAGAAAGTGGAGCTCTCTGTGAACAGCATTCACCAGAGCTGGAGTCTCAGTTCTTCCACACGCACAGGCAGCCTGTGGTCCGAAGTGAAAGAGAAGTGGGGAAGCTAAGGCTGGGATCTGTCCCAGCTGAGAAGAAGGAAAGAGAGGGGACCCCATCAACACTTTTCCTGCCGGTACCCGCAAATCTCCTGAACCATGGCAGAAGGAGCAGAGGGAGAAGAGGAAATCCAGTTCTTACGAACAGTGAGTTATATTGAGAATACCTTACCTCCGATTAGTTAAAAAATGCATGTATCGTATATATATATGCATTAGAAATATGATTTTTTTTTTAATCAATGTTAAAGTTGACCACATTTTTACAGCTTTCTCATTCAGTTTTCATGAATGTTTTTGGAAGAATGTTGAGTGACATGACCAGGTGTGTGGATTTGCTGGCATTGTTGTCTATTTATACATAGTGCAGTGCAGAGGTTGGATTGTCACTGTTTGAAACATGACTTTACACTTGGCACTGTGCACAGAAGCATGACAACTACATACTGCCAAGATCAAGATATAAATCTAGACTATAGACCAAATATACAGTACAAAGATCTGTGAATTTAAGATGTGTGAGTGAAGCAGTACTGCTGTAGTGTATGTTTATGAGTCTATATGATTGACCTTAGTGTTGTAAATGCCTGACCTGGCTGTGTTGGGGTTATGTCAACATGAACATTGAGTCATTCTAACAAGAGCTCAAACAGTCCTATAATGGATGCACTGGAAGATTTTAACCAATGCAGAAGCGTAGATCAAGACAACTAGTGCTGTTCTGTACTGTTGTTTGTGATGCTGCTGTCTATGAGCTCTGAGTCTATATACAGAGATGGGATTAGCTGCTTTCTGGCCCGTCATGAACCAACACCTGTTTGTTACAGTCTATTTAAAAAGTCTATTCTGTCCCCCTATTTTTATGACGGCCTCCAGAGCTTTTCAGCACATATTTAGAGTTTGATTAGCAAAAACATTTTATGAACACTGTTTAACTGCATTTTTCTGGTAAATAATATTTTATTAAGATTTTTAATAAATTAATTTTTTTTATTGATGAGTGACTAGATAGTGAAAGAAAAGCAAATGAAGTGGTCCAGCTTGTGAAATCCTTTAATGCTGTTTACAAGACGTCACAGAATGCATCATTTTGGATCATTCTTCATTGCAAGTTGTTTTATGGAAAGGTATTTTTGATGCAGTTTCTTGATACATTCTGTGATTGTGAAACAAGAAGTCAGACAGTCATTGTCCCAAATGAACAGTCATTCATTGATTACAGTTCCACTGTTACTTTTGTGTGACTCTGGCTCCAGGAAAATTGCAAGTAGCAGGTGCCACAGCCTGAAATAGAGGGATAGAGGAGGAGGCCGGGAGAGACAAGTAGGGGAGAAAGCTGACTAAAAAATAATGTAATGCTTTTGATACTGTAATTGGGTTGGCTGTCGTTTCAAACAGTAAGCGACGACATGCTAAAACGATTTGAAACCCATTTAAAACAAATCTTCAAAATCTTTATACATTTTCAAAATTCATTTATTCAGTTTTTATGACCTCATTAATATACACATTGAATAGTATACTTCTAAAATTGTATTTGTCACACAGCAGGTCTATGTGTACGGCAAAAATAAAAATTTGATTTAAAAAAATTTGACAATTTTATGTAAAATTATGCAAATCTAAAAATGTACACGTTCCTTTACAAGCACATACATATTTTTTTTTAATATCTCTATTGCTCATCATGTATTTATTTAATCGGAAATTCAGTAAAAACAGTAATATTGTGAAATATTATAACAACTTAAAATATTATTTATTTCTGGTGATGGTAAAGCTGAATGTTCAGCATCATTACTCCAGACTTCAGTGTCACATGATCCTTAAGAAATCATTCTAATTTGCTGATGTGGTGCTCTAGAAACATTTCCTATATTATCATTGTTGAAAACAGTTGTCCTATTTAATATATTTGTGGAAACCTTGATAATTTCTTTGATGAATAGAAAGTTCAAAAGAACAGCATTTCTTTGAAATATAAATCTTTTGTAGAAGTCTTTACTGTCACTTTTGACAAATTTCATGTTTCCTTGCTGTCAGTTACTATTGCCCTATTGTGACGTATATACAAGTGAAACGACTTCTCGAACAAGAAAAAATGTTGGCCGGAACATGATTGTGTCCATCAGGAATTGATTGGATTGTTAGATCGCTGTGGTTTGCTTATTTCTGTGATGCCATGTGAGTGACAGGTTGTCCTGCCCTCGCGCCAGTAAATAATGTCATCATCAGAGAAAAGAATAGATGATGCTGCAAGTGGGAAGGGAAGTTATTTTGATGAAAGATTTTGAGAGAACATGAATTAAAAATAAAATTATGTGCATGAATAAACCATTTATAAAACAGTAGCATTCCATAAAAAATATTTTTGATGGTAACTTTAATGTCTTTAGAAAACGTAACTGTTGAACAGTATGTATTTCCAACAACAAGTTTAAATATTTTAATGGGATGATTGTAAATAAAATGAATGCTTGTTGCATTTCCCTCTCATATATTATAAAAACGTATTCTGACATTTATTAAATGCAAATGTTATAATTGTGATCTCACAAAGACTATATTGTTACAGAAGCACTGTGTCTCAGGTTGCTAGCAGAATGTGTCGGTGTAGACAGGGTTTTCCACGGCCCACTGGGTTACATTCCAGCCCTGGAATATCTCAGCAGATGACACACTTACTTAATACACTGTCATGCAGACTAGCCTGTCAAGGACATGACCTGCCCCGATTTGTCTATAAAGGCAGGCTTCATCTTTAATTTGCACTTTCATACAACATATATTGAACTGAATCAATGGAACAGTAATGAGGTTATCTATTAAATCAAGTCTTTTTGAGGTCAACTTGTATGGCAATAGAGTAACAGAGGGTGGTGTTGTACTTAGAATTAGTGGCACCACTACAGGCTTTTATAACTACCGGTATGTTTTAAGATCAAATTAATTTATTTTCATATAACCTATCAAATAACTTTGTTTCTCATAGAACTTAAAAATATTTAATACATAAAGCAATCTTTCTTTCTTCTCAGACAGGCCTCACATGCCTCACAGGCCTCTAAGCCTCCCCACATGTGTTCTGGCTGTAACCTGAGCCACATTCAGGATTAGGTGCTTTCTGCCTTGATCAAGGTTACAAATAACAAATTATGTAGCAGCAATGTGTGCTATGGGCATGTTGTTACAAAGAAAACATCAATGACTTGTCTAAATCAATATTTCAGAAAGTGGCAATATTCAATACTGAATTAAATTGGATTTCTGTGATTCCAGTAGAGCAAAGATTGAGATTTACTCCTAGTACTCACAGAGAGTTGCATCAGATGATGCATCGACAAAATATTGTCTTTGTTTATCAAAAGGTTGCGTGAGATTGTGCCCCGAAATTTGTATAGCTTTTTGTCTAATGTTAAAAGGATAGTTCACCCAAAAATGTAGTTCCAACCCTGTATGAGTTTGTTTCTTTCTGTGGAGCACAAAAAATATATATTTTTTGAGAAATGTCTCAGTGATTGTTTTTTGTCAATACAATGGAAGCCAAAGAGCACCAAAATGGTTGGGTTACCAACATTTTATCAAAACGTAATTTGTGTTCTGCAAAAAAAAAAAAGGCCTAGAATGACTTCTACATGAGGTTGAGTAAAATGACAACAGAATTTTTATTTTTGTGTGAATTAACCCTTTAACTATTCTGACATGTTTAGTCTTCTTTAAAAACATGATATATTACTCAGATACTGACATCTTGACATTTATTTTCTTTGTAGGATGACCAGGTGGTTCTACAGTGCACAGCTACTATCCTGAAGGAGCAGATCAAACTCTGTCTGTCCTGTGAGGGTTTTGGGAATCGCTTGTGCTTTCTGGAAACTACGTCCAATGCCCAGGTATGCTTTTCTTACATGTCATTCTGAATTTATGAAATACTGTTTTGGATTCCCAGTGTTCTGTACACTGTTTTTTTTTTTTTTTTTTGTCATTCTAGAATGTTCCTCCTGATCTGGCCATATGCTGCTTTATCCTGGAGCAGTCCTTATCTGTGCGGGCCCTTCAG